TCAATGTCCCCTTATTAGAAAGGCACAGGAGTCTCCACTGGATTCTGCAGGGGTGGGACACATGTACAGTAGTCGCCTTTTACGACATGCAGTGGTATAAAGCAGGCCTATTCTTGCCCCGAACCTGCGGGATTCCTAGTTATATTTGTCATGCGATAACTGGAACCTTTACTTGTGAGGACTCGTCTACAGAAAGACGTGATCAATGTAAAACCAAAAGTTCTAGGATTTAGTAATTTTCCTTTTTCTGATGGTACAAGTTGACTAGCCTGGAAACTGTTACCGAAATCTGCATACCTTGTGATCTAACCATACAGTGTTTTCATAAAATATCGAATCGCGCGGTAGTGTAATGATAAAATTCACCACTTTGACCTCAGGCTATAACTCTTTAGTAATCTTCACAGTACAGGACGCGCTCTCTATAAGCCTTAGTTTTTGGTTAGATTTTTAGCCAGAAACAAAATCTTCATCGAAATCACTAAAGCTATGTTTCTATCAGATTAAATGTCGCATTATTTTGAAAATTCAAACACCATTATCCCGTTTTATATGATTATACACGGTCACTGTCTACTGGACCTATGTACTTTTATCCATGGCGAGGACTGCAGTAAAACGCCCGTCACATATGTAATGGTCCCCGTCTCCTGTCGCATTCCTTACCTATTACAACTCCAATGGGACTCTTTAAATAAACTTGTCTCGCAGCTCTCACTGGTAGCGATGTACACCGATATATCCGATATGTCAGATTTTTATTGAAAACATTTACATTATTCCACAATACATAATACACAAGACGGCTAGCAATCTTACTTAGATACTTTTATTGCACATGAAATATTACAACAACGTAATAAATCGATAGTAAATGTTCCCATGTTATTGGCCATCACCCGATTTGTCTCCGATATTTACCATGCGGGGGTCACATTAGTAAACGCACTGTCATACAAAACATCTTTATTCAATCTGATTAGAGTACAGCTCCTCATGATCACACTGGTGACTACAAAATGCTGACTTTCCTCATATCAAGGTAATATAACCCAACCCTGATGGCTATAATCCAACAATGCTGAATATAACCCAACCATGCTGACTTTCTACTGAAATATTCACTTTAAATTACCATGGTAAGGTTATACTCAGCATTGTCGTTTTAAAGTCAGCACGGTCATTTAAAAGTCAGCACGGTTGGTTTATATTCAGAGTACTGGTCCCTGAGGATTTTACCTGTGTTCCTCCATCATTATACTATCGTTCTCATACGATTGTAGAACGATATTATAATGAGGAGCTGTATTCTAATAAGATTGCAAATTTATTCAAACGGAATTTTAATGTCACATCTTATCGACAACATTGCACCTTATGAGCTATAGAGAGTGTAAGAGAATACAATGGTAATATTCTTATAATCAATCAACCGTGAGTCTGTAACTTAAATATGTTCTAAAAACAAGAGGCCCATGGGGGCCTTATAACGCTCATATGAGTTAAAATTGAAAATGGCTCGGCTTATTCGATAAATACAAAAAGCACACTTATTGACATCGTAAGGATATCTGTCCCATGTTTGGATTCAATCTGTAAAGCCATTCCTGAGAAGTAATCTAGAATCTCTTAGCTAATCAGACGCTTGGGAAGCCATCTTAGATTTTAAGATTGGCACGAAAAGTAAGTGCACTAGTTGGAGATCTACATAAGAAAGGTTTCTACCAAGTTTAAAGTCAATTGTTTTTGCCATTGTTCAGAAGATGTCTTAAATATCTAATCAGTGGTAATACGTCCATCTTGGATTTTCGCAACAGCTCAAGAAAAGCCAGACTATTTGGTTGAGACATTGTAAAAAAGAATTGTATCAAGTCTGAAGTTAATCATGCAGGTCAGTGCTTCTGAAGAAGAAGTTGAAAATGTACAGTCAATTGTAAAACTTGACTCGGGTCACAAGACAGATGACAACAGACAAAGTCAGATTATAGCGAAAGCTCTTGTGATTAATGTCATGTGGACTAAAAATTGGAGACTCCATTTACTAATATGGTTGTTTTCTCAAACAGTGACCAATATCAACATTTTATCGGACTACATAATGTGCATGTGTCATAATTATATATATCTACATGTAGTTAACAGTACCAAACACGAGTAAAGGCCGTTATTACCACATATAAATGTAGGATAAATTCTATCCATATTCATATACATGTACTGATGACAGTGAAAAACCATTCATGGCAAAGTTTAATTTGTGGGATACAAGATATTTTTTTTACCTTGTTTGTGGTAAAAAGATCAAGTGGAAATTAGTATACATAAGCAGAATGATGCTGGCTGTCACTATGTTCGCACATCTAAACCTACAGCTATCAACTTGACAACGCAAAACAACTGTATAGATATATATATATAACTGTGACACACACCAGTAATATATTATACAGTGATGTAATGACCAGTCCACATCTAGTGATGACAAATAAAATTTTGCGTAAAATGTAGTTAATAGATTGGCAAAGAATTTCAGCTAATAGGATCTGCATAACGAAAAACAAATCACATTTCATTTTCTTTAATACTAATGTCTTTCTTAAGATATTTCTCAAATAATACATTTTTCACCGGTATATTTAATGACTGAAGTGTTGTTCTATTAATTGTCAGTAACTATTTTCCAGTAAAGACACAGTATTGATCACACATGACTGTACTCCAGCTTATAGATTTATAATAATCTTCTTACACACCTTTGACATGTAAATGAGTATTTAAGCTGGGTTTTTTTTATTTCTCACAATTAGGTATGGTATCATTTCTCACAATTAGGTACCGGTATCCTTTCTTACAATTAGGTATCGGTATCTGTTAATACTGCAGTATATTTTTGGAGTCCCTGAAAGAAAAAACAGAGTTCAGGCCTGAACAGCAGCAGTTGTAGTATGCTCACATCAAAGTGCAGGAATAGATGTAATATTAATGAGAGTTAAGCCTGGCAGATCTGTGAATGTTAATTCATGATTAACAGGCTACCAGACATCAAAAGAGGACTGTGCGGTCCATCTCTCTGCTCCACCTGATAAACAAACTGAGCATGGTATAACACACCCACAGAACTAGGTGGCTGATTGTCTCCCCTTGTACATTGTGTCCTTACCATATTTGTTTCTTATTTGCACCAAGACTGTTGTTAAACAACAATTAACATGAAAACAGCCACATGTCACTGTGATCCTTTCTGTATGTCAAACAAATCGACATGCTGAGGTGAAACAGGTGTATAAAGGGAGGTAACACCAGTATAAATGATATCATAATGTAAGCATGATGAAGTATATGGAATAGTAATGCTTTGTGAAATTATATATAGAATCAATTTAACATAATTGTAACTACCTGCCACATTAATTTAAGCAAGTTATACATTAGTGATAATTGTATTATATATACATGATACACTTCAATAAATTAGTTACAATTAACAATAATGAGCGATTGCTAGGACTTTAGCAAGTCTAAAGATTACCAGTAAAACAAGAAATGAGCAGTATTGTCTATGTGACCTCATTAAACAAATACGACCTCTTCAAAACCCCTGTGATTTCATCAAAATCCCTGTGATTTCATCAAAACTCCTATGATTTCCTCAAAACCCCTGTGATTTCATCAAAACCCCTGTGATTTCATCAAAACTCCTATGATTTCATCAAACCCCTGTGATTTCATCAAAACCCCTGTGAATTCATCAAAACTACAATGACTTCATCAAAACAAATTAGCCAGTAATGTAACCATATTCCTAGACCTGTGGAGGGATTTCTCCTCAGATTTGGTCTTTGTTTATAGACATAAATAAGCAGTCAAAGACTAGCTGTCAAACCAAGAATTCCTCCTCAAAGTCAATCACTTGTACTCCGTGAGATATATATATAATCACTGTGATTTGTGTGAAAGTCAATCACTTGCAATCCGCGAGATATATATATAATCACTGTGATTTGTGTGAAAGTCAATCACTTGTACTCCTTGAGATATATATATAATCATTTGTGCTCCTCGAGATATATATATAATCACTGTGTTTTGTGTGAAAGTCAATCACTTGTACTCCGTGAGATATAAATATAATCACTGTGATTTGTGTGAAAGTCAATCACTTGTACTCTGTGAGATATATATATAATCACTGTGATTTGTGTGAAAGTCAATCATTATTTTAAATTTATCTCCAGACACATGAACAGATGTCTGGAAAACATAACTGATTTACAATATACATATATATATGACACTGAATACAGATATTATATAGTTAGATATAACTAAATCAATATTTGGAGTACTAACCCATTAAATCCAAACCTTTATTTTGGTAGTAATAATTGAACGTTTTAACCGTTTTACCACTGTAGACCATAATGGACTCATCCAGATGAATGTATGGTACTGTCTACTAAAGTTACCAAGGGGTGAAAGGGTTAACTAGGCCTTACATATGCAGGTATGTACTTCATAGATTTTAAGACAATTTATAGTCAGATATAAATGGTAATGTACAGTTTAATGATTTTCAAACTAATATTTTATGCTGATTTTTATCAAAATATACAGTTAAACATGTTTAAATTGCATCATAAGGGACTAAATACATGAGTTTGTTATTGCCAAATTTCAATTCAAATTTTGATGTTGATATGACTATTTCTTGACAAAAAATTACTTAGCATGATTAACAAAAAAGAAAAATGATAATCACAAATACTTCCTATTACATAGGATTTTAAAATGATCTTCTGAAGGGTGGTCGGGTGGTGCAGTGGATAGCGCACTTGCCTTTCACCAAGGCGGCCAGGGTTCGATTCCCCGATCGGACATGAAAAGGTTGGGGTCACCTGCCCAACCACATGGGGTTTCTCCGGGTACTCTGGTTTCCTCCCACACTTAGACCCCCCACGCGCTAATATCCAGGCCAACAAGTGTGATTAATATAAGTTGAAATAACTTGTTTCATAATTGTTGTTAAATAAATAAAGTTTCTATTAAAAAAAATAAGATCTTCTGAATGTTCTATTGTAATCAGATAGAAGGGTAACAAATTTGAGATTGTTTTTTCATATAAGGTACCTAATAATACCACTCTGTCTCACATACCTAAGGTAGGTAAGTGGGGGGAAAACAAGAAATAAACAGCCATTTTACTTTTCCCTGTAAATTAGTAATGACATCGTTACATCAGTATCGGTGACGTTACAATGAGTGTTGTTATATGTTACAATTCAAAAATTGATTCCAGTGTTATTACACTGAATAACAGCCAGATCACGGAAGCAGTTACACTGTTCTAGGATCAGGGCCCGTATTCATGAAACCGTTCTCATGCTCAAGTATGGAATTTGTGCCGAATTTCTTGTTCTAGTTATAATTTCATAAACAAATATTTTTTCAATGATTTGGAAAAACATTGAGGAGACTTAAAGCTGAAAACTGCTTTAAATGTTTACATTTGACATTTTGATTGTTTGACAAGGTTTTACCGAGTTACAAGAATGTAGGTTTGAGCACAGAATCCATGCTTGAGCATGAGAATGGTTTCATGAATATGGGCCCGGAATGCTACGGTAAATGATCAGGGACTTTTCTCCAATGAAGGACTTTTTACACTGGTGAAGATGTTAACATTGTTTAAAATGCCTCTAAAATACAACAATAAATGAAAATACATTTATATCTTATATAAAACTTCAATCGGAAAACAGATAACATGACCAACAGTAACCCAGACAAAGTGAAAAGGACGAAGTTGATGTATCTATCCACAGAACCAGCCAAGCAGTAGCCGGACAATGTACGCTGTGTGACGACAGGCGACCAGTGTCTACAAACTTGGGTAAGTTTGCTTGCATCTTACCATGATTTGATCAGGAAAATAACCCGTTACCTGGATATGATAAACAAGGGGCTGGAAGTAGGAAACATGATCAGATCCATGAAATCACTTCAAATGTGTTACATTCTAGTAATTTTTATATCTATATTTATTAGGAGTGTTAGCTATAAATGTACCCACGTCCAGCCTACATATCTGTTAACATGCAGCCAAAATCACAGTTTTCACTGTATAGCTGTTAACTTTCGCAGGAATAAACATATTTCATGGTTAACTAAATTATAACTTGTTCAAGGGTATTAAATTTCACCCTACATAAATTGCACGGTTAAATATTGCCCTCAAGAGGGTATTTTTGTATTTTGGTGATTAGATTTTTTTTACAAGCATTTTTTCAAAATAACATAAAATACAATACTGAATTAGTGTTTTTGTCTCCATCATGGTAATAAATGGTGAACAGATCTCTTCTTTTATCTCTGTATATTCATGGCATTAATATTTGCTGTATGTTTAATTTTGTGCTATCTTCAGTAACTGCAAATATATGGAAATTAAATCCCCCACTAAATTTACCACACAACACAACACTGGTCAAGTATTGTCTGACCACTTTGCTGACACACAACACCAGGAATGAATGCACATACTGCTATACATAGCTAATACCCATCAGTTTAGTACTATATAAGTATATATCAACATCAACAATAAAAACAAGCAAACGACTTCCAAAACCATTCATATGAACAGAAACAAACACATTCGAAACAAAATAATTCAAAACAACTTAGAATCATGTGAGCATAATATACACTGTAAGCAAACTTGAGACCATGTGCAACACACTTGATCAATATTGTCATAAAATTGTCATAAAATATCAACTCAATTGTGTACATTACAGAAATCACATAGCAGGTCTTCAGTTGACACTCATGTTCGTATTATAGACTAAAGTCTATTTTCCTACAGGCATTATGTACTCTTCACCAGTCACGGGCAGCCCACATGTTCCATGCGGCAGACGACAGCAATGCCACGACAACGAATGCTGTGACCTTGATGTAACCTCCTCCAACATCCGGTACTAGGTATCGCCAGAGCCAGGAACCACCCGTACCCCTCCGCGTCGCGTACTTCTGTATAGACTTCTTACCCGTCACAACCAACCTGTAGACAGACCATTGAAAAGTATTAAAAGGGAGATAACTTGTACACCACTAATAAAATAAAGCAATATGAGGATTACTGTGAAACAACTCGAAATTTAGGAAATAAGTAAGAATTATTGATAAAATTACCAAAACATTTTTCATCAAGATTCTAAACTATATTTTTGTTTTTAGTTATAGAACATTTCTATAATAACCCATCGTATGGCCTGAGCATCATCAAATGTGCATCTCATATAGATGAAGGGAAAACCTATCCCAAGAGAGCCATGTGGGGATATAAAACCCTCTACAGAGCTATGGATACTATAGGCTATCCTCTTTATATACATAAGGAAACTTACGCTTTTCTCTTGTAAGTTTTGATGGCCTCGTTGGCCAGCTGAGTAGGCGGGTACTGGATAAACAGGTCCCCTGCTTCTCGAATCAGAAGCTCAAACGGTAAATTGTCCGGAATCTTAGACAAAAGTCCATGTAACACACACATATCACACTCGCTGGACAGAATCTCTTTCTCACGGTACAAAACAATCTGTAAGGAAGGAAGTTTTGTATTTTATGTTTACGTCATCAAAAGTATTCCATCATCATTTGTCTCACATGTCAATGGTAGGTAGTCAATGTATTCATGTTTTTAGATTTTTGAATCGATAGTTTCCTGTGCATAACTACTTAATAACAATAAACTGATCAGGTAAGAATTGTGAAATTCTTTCAAATCACAGACCAACAAGATGTGAAACAGAAACTTTGTAGAATTTGTAAAAAAAAAAAATACAGATAAAATAACAAATAAATCAAACAAGACATGAAATCAATCTATGCATTGATGTCTTTCAACCTGTATGATAAAGCTGAACTACCAAGGTAGTGACATCAGGAACTTTTATCAGTTCATCTAGTTTAATGGTCATCCTTTAATTCCAGTTGCTTCTTACAATTTGAGAGATGGAAGTTAGAAATTTAAGTATTGTTAAGATATAGAAAACAACTTTACATTGTTTCTTTAATTCCTTATTGAGAATTTAGATGATGAACAAATTATATATAAATGTACTGTCAAATAAGTTAAGGTGTCTTTAATTGTAGATATGTTTATATTTGAAGAATACTGTGAAGAACAAGAACAGGTACTTACAACAGCTGCCAAGTATATGGGCATAAGAGGATGACAGGCGATAAAGAAGTCGTACAACCGCACAATGTGGCGAAGGTCATCTAGTACATGTCCATACCATGTTATCAACCAGCTCAGACTGAAAACAGACCCGACTTCTGACCTGTATAAACAAAATATGTTTAAAAAATAAAGGATATGATGTTATTTGACCTGTACAAAGAAAATAAGCCATGTGTCCTGTTTAAAGAAAATATGTCATGTGACCTGTACAAAGAAAATATGTCATGTGACCTTTTCAAGGTTAAATGTGTCATGTGACCTGTACACAGAAAATCTGATATGTGACCTGTACCAAGAAAATATGATATGTGATCAGACTTTAAAAAGACCCAACCTCTATTCTGTACAAAAATTGTGTCATGTGATCAATAAACTTAGAGTTAAAATGGATATCTCCATTCTGTACAGATTAAACATCGACCTAACTTCTGAGGGTCTTACCTACACAAACAAGAATGCTATGTGATCAATCACAGACATGGATGTGACTGGTGTAAACACCGTAGATATAGGTGTGTGACAGTAGAAACGTTTTACTTACTCCTCCATGAAGTCACGCAGCTTCGGCTTGGACTTGCCCACTATAGGATACAGGTAATTCAGTATGTGTTTGGTCCGGTCCATTGTCGAATCCATGAAGTCCCTAAGAAATACAAACAAAATATATTTCACAATTTTTCACATCAGTCTAAATGAAATTTTAGCTGATCTTTCTGGAAACAAGTAGCTGGGTTACATGAGATAAGGTTTAACTGCATATTAGTGACAAAGTGACACTTGGGGGGACACACATTTTAAACTTAGGTGACACTTCAGGTGACCTACTATAGTTAGGGAAGTGATGCTTAAGCTGACTTTCCTTACAGATTAACAATTCTAATCAAGTGACACTTAGGGTGACCTTCTGTAACTAAGTCACACTTGAAGTGACCTGATGTAACTAAGTCACACTTGAAGTGATCTACTATAACTAAGTCACACTTGAAGTGACATATAGTAACTAAGTCACACTTGAAGTGACCTATAGTAACGAAGTCACACTTGAAGTGACCTATAGTAACTAAGTCACACTTGAAGTAACCTATAATAACTAAGTCACACTTGAAGTAACCTATAGTAACTAAGTCACACTTGAAGTGACCTATAGTAACGAAGTCACACTTGAAGTGACCTATAGTAACTAAGTCACACTTGAAGTAACCTTTAGTAACTAAGTCACACTTGAAGTAACCTATATTAGTTAAGTCACACTTGAAGTGACCTATAGTAACTAAGTCACACATGAAGTGACCTATAGTAACGAAGTCACACTTGAAGTGACATATAGTAACTAAGTCACACTTGAAGTGACCTATAGTAACTAAGTCACACTTGAAGTTACCTATAGTAACGAAGTCACACTTGATGTAACCTATAGTAACTAAGTCACACTTGAAGTGACCCACGGTAGCTAAACGACACTAAGGGTGACCTATCTGGTAACTAAGTGACACTAGCAATGACCTACTATACGTATATACATATTAATATTTCTAACTAAGTGACATTTAAGGAGACCTACTGTACAAAATAACATTCTATGAGGGCACTCACTGACCTGAGATGGTTCACAGACAACCATTCCATGAGAGCAAAGGCTATATCCTCCCCGGCTACCAACAAGAACGTCACACAGATGTCATGGTAACCCTGTCAGAAAAATTGAAAATATTTTCAATACATGTATAGTAACAAGAGTACCACGGGGTGGAACAATATACACCCGTCGAATGCCATATAGTGTTAGATACTTGCTTACATTGAAATAAGATCTGCATCATTCTAAAAGTGGTTAGCTGTCATGCTATAAAAAATGTAGGAGAAAATCTCTGGACAAATAATCAAATATTGAAAAGAACAAAGGGCAATAATCTTCGAATCAAATTTCTTTTTTAAGGGAGATACAACTTCATATCATGATTATAATGTATACCAAGTTTCAAAGAAATCTGTTAAAAATGTAGAAGGAGATTGCCGGACAAAACTCAATTAATTAAATAAACAAAGGGCAATAACTTTTGCAAAAATTGCTGAATCAAAATTCTTTCAAGGAAACACAACAACATATCATGATTATTTTGTCTACCAAGTTTCAAAGAAATCCGTCAAAAAATGAAGGAGAAGATCTCCGGACAAAAAATCAAATACTGAAATGAACAAAGGGCAATAACTTTTGGAACAATTGTTGATTCAAAATTCTTTTAAGGGAGACACAACTTCATATCATAATTATAATGTATACCAAGTTTCAAAGAGATCAGTCGAAAAATGTAGGAGGAGATTGCCGGCCAAACAAAAGTTTATGCCGGACGAACGGACAAACGGACGGACGACCCCATACCATAATACTTCCGTCAAATTAAAAACAGTTTCCAACAACACCATTGTACAAATTATTCCCACAACAGCTGTAGATTTCATCACTCCCATAACTGCTATAGCTATTGTCACTCGCAGTCCACGTTTCTTTTTTTGGGTAATTATACCAATCAAAGTAAATATTTACTGTGCAAACCATATTTCCATTTTCTCCATTTATGACTCATCAATGGGATCAAAGGTAAAAAAAATGAACATCCATCTCTATTGAGGTCTACAGTATGAAATATAACCAAGCATGATTCCTAACAGTTGTATTATTTTATGGGAGAAAGACAACATCTCCATAAGTTAATTATATATGAATACTTGATAACAAAAGGCCAAGGGGCCTAAATAGATCACCTGTTCTTTTCTAATATATCATCTGTTGATTGTTCAATATGATACATGTATATCAAAAGAGAGTACCTTACCTGATAGTAGTGTAACTCTAGACCTTACCTGATAGTAGTGTAACTCTGTACCTTACATGGTAGTAGTGTAACTCTGTTCCTTACCTGGTAGTAGTGTGACTCTGTATCTTGCCGGATAGTAGTGTAACTCTGTACCTAACCTGATAGTAGTGGAACTCTGGACCTAACCTGATAGGAGTGTAACTCTGTACCTTACCTAATAGTAGTGTAACTCTGTATCTTACCTGATAGTAGTGTAACTCTGTACCTTACCTGGTAGTAGTGTAACTCTGGACCTTACCTGATAGTAGTGTAACTCTGGACCTTATCTGATAGTAGTGTAACTCTGGACCTTACCTGATAGTAGTGTAACTCTGGACCTAACCTGATAATAGTGTAACTCTGGACCTAACCTGATAGCAGTGTAACTCTGTACCTTACCTGAAAGTAGTGTAACCCTGTACCTTGCCTGATAGTAGTGTAACTCTGGACCTAACCTGATAGTAGTGTAACTCTGGACCTAACCTGATAGCAGTGTAACTCTGTACCTTACCTGATAGTAGTGTAACCCTGTACCTTACCTGATAGTAGTGAAACTCTGGACCTTACCTGATAGTAGTGTAACTCTGGACCTAACCTGATAATAGTGTAACTCTGGACCTAACCTGATAGCAGTGTAACTCTGTACCTTACCTGAAAGTAGTGTAACCCTGTACCTTGCCTGATAGTAGTGTAACTCTGGACCTAACCTGATAGTAGTGTAACTCTGTATCTTACCTGATATTAGTGTAACTCTGTACCTTACCTGATAGTAGTGTAACTCTGGACCTTACCTGATAGTAGTGTAACTCTGGACCTAACCTGCTAGTAGTGTAACTCTGTACCTTACCTGATAGTAGTGTAGCTCTGTACCTTACCTGATAGTAGTGTAACTCTGTACCTGACCTGATAGTAGTGTAACTCTGTACCTTACCTGATAGAAGTGTAACTCTGTACCTTACCTGATAGTAGTGTAACCCTGTACCTTACCTGATAGTAGTGAAACTCTGGACCTAACCTGATAGTAGTGTAACTCTGGACCTAACCTGATAGTATTGTAACTCTGTACCTTACCTGATAGTAGTGTAACTCTGTACCTTAACTGACAGTAGTCTAACTATGGACCTTACCTGATAGTAGTGTAACTATCGACCTTACCTGATAGTAGTGTAACTCTGTACCTTACCTGATAGTAGTGTAACTCTGTACCTTACCTGATAGTAGTGTAACTCTGGATCTTATCTGATATTAGTGTAACTCTGTACCTTACCTGATAGTAGTGTTACTCTGTACCTTACCTGATAGTAGTGTAACTCTGGACCTTAACTGACAGTAGTATAACTATGGACCTTACCTGATAGTAGTGTAACTCTGTACCTTACCTGATAGTAGTGTAACTATGTACCTTACCTGATAGTAGTGTAACTCTGTACCTTACATGATAGTAGTGTAACTCTGGACCTTAACTGACAGTAGTGTAACTCTCTATCTTACCTGATAGTAGTGTAACTCTCTATCTTACCTGATAGTAGTGTAACTCTGGACCTTAACTGACAGTAGTATAACTATGGACCTTACCTGATAGTAGTGTAAATATGGACCTTACCTGATAGCAGTGTAACTTTGTACCTTACTTGATAGTAGTGTAACTTTCTATCTTATCTGATAGAAGTGTAACTCTGTACCTTACCTGATAGTAGTGTAACTCTAGACCTTAACTGACAGTAGTGTAACTCTCTATCTTACCTGATAGTAGTGTAACTCGGGGTGTTTGACCAGGACTCTCATTATGAGGTCGACTAGTTCATCCTGTAGAGACATACGATGTTCCACCTCCATACCTGACAACACATCAACATACATTTTATTGTAAATAATCACTGTAATGAAAAAATAAAACATGCTTGTCATATATCTACTTTTATTTAAATAAATTGTACAAGCATATTGCAGGGTTATGGTTGGGGAGTGTGTGTGGGTAAGATAGGGGCGTTCATTCAGCTATACAAATTTACATAACATTTTACTATATTCACCAACTGTCATTTTAATTGCCACTAATCTGACAAGGGTTGAAGGGTGATACATGCCCAGGTAATGGACATAAGTTCAAATCAAGTCAAGGATTTTGTTGATTAGTGTGTCCAGTAGCTGGCATGGTCCCATCTCCTTTATCCACTTATATATAACTGTACGTTGTCTGATGGTCAGAAGGTTCAAGGCCAGCAGATAAAACTACACCTTGTATAACCTGTTCTCAAACTAGTCACTGGTCAAGCTATCAAAAGCATTCTCTAGTTCTCAGTGATAGTTGTGTTGATTTAATTTCTGTCACCTTTTTGAAGGTTGGCTAATGTTTGCTGAAATAGTGTGCCTCTACCAGGGATCAAACCAGTGACCCCTGGCAGTATCCCAGTCCACCCCTCTACTGATTGAGCTAAAGGAAAATTCCCTCTAGCCTTCAAAGCTAGAAGGGGACCATACTCCTATGTACAATTAAAACCTGTGATAAGTATATGCTTACCGACCAAAACAGTCTTAGGTGTAAAGGACCCCCAAATGGCACTGTGATTATTCTCCTTGATAAAATTTTGCTACAATCCCTTAATTGGTGTACATAAGGAGGATTTGAAGTGTCCACCCCTATAAGCTCCTGCTCCTCTGCCACCAGGAGGCTACATCCTCCTTTTTTATAAAATGTTCAATCCCAATTCCCCTTGGCCAAAAAATATTCCAGATTAAAAATATGATTAAAATCCCTACATCCATACAGCCGGAGAAACTTTACAGATACATGTATACCTCAATTTCTCATACTGCATGGCCCCATCCATCTGCCACAAAGGAGGCCAAAGGCAAACTATCTATTTTTACAACATCTCATCCTCTCCGATTGTTACCAAGCCTCTACACTGTCTAGTCTGTAACCTTCAAATCAAGGTCAAAAAGAGGCAGTTAATGTCTCGTACCATCCCACTTCTGTTCAAATAATGTAAACCCACCCCCACCCCCATACCATTGCACTGCCATTCAAATACGGTCAAACCTACTCCTACCAGCATACTTCTGTCAAAATATGGTCAGATCATGTACAATCAAACACAGCTGATACCTTGTCAATTATAATTACTGTCAACTGGTTCTTTTTTATGTCTATGTATCAGTAAATATCAAAATAAAAATGACCACATCATAGATTAACTTATAATGAACTGGCCTTGACAGCAGAAAAGTACATCTACTATACCCAGATAGAAATAGTTACTGTAACCCCCTCTAACCTCCTCCCCCC